GTGCTGAGATTATGCTGGTGTTAGAGGACACGTCCAAAGAGGTTCATCTGTCCTGTGCCATTTAAACACGCCTACTGCACACTTGTCCAGCCTGATGCCCCTTTACCTCTGGAACTGTTTACCTAGAGGCAATGCTTGTGAATGATTCGAGGTCTCAGCCACTAATCATTACACGAGGGTTGATACTCCTGTTTGTTCTAATGCTACACCTGATAAAGCACTACTTTGATGAACTGCACCAATTAATGGACAGAGAGCTGAATTACTCAGAAGACATTCTGACTTTCCAAGCGCAAAACAGCTGTCCTTTCCAATTTGTGTGGAAAAATTTGTTGCAAAATTGCGGTAGGCTTACTAGTTGCAAAATTACTTTAAAATGCAATATGGGTCGATGACCTTATACCTTATTGTAATGGGTCGATGACCTTATTATTTTTTTAATAATGCAATTCATAGATGACTTGATTGATACATTGATTCAATGATTTGAATACACCTCTTCTGTGGTGAGCATGTTTTTTAATTTCTGAAGTAAAATAAATTTTTTTAAAGTACAAAATGCCAGGTTCAAACAACTGTGCAAATATCATAATTTAGAAAAATTCTTAGTTTAGCATAGTAACTATTTTTGAGAAAAATATATTACCACATCTACATCACTGCTTATTAATAATTAAAAAAAAAAACTTTCCTCCAAAACTTAATATGAATTAATAATTCACGATTTTTGTAAAATAAATACATTTTTTAAATACTTTGTCAGTTAACTGAAAAAAAATGCTTTCAAAATTAAAAAAAAACAACGTATCTCTATATTAATACAATTTTACAAATAATATATTATTTATTCTTGTGATGCCAGATCATTCTAACATGCTGATTTGGTTCTTAAGAAACATTTCTTCTTATTATTAATGTTACCTTTTCCAGGCTTTTCTCTTGTTTCTTGTTTACTGCTTAGCGATATAAAGCTGATAGCCAAGGGTTTTCATTTCTTTCAGTTTCGCCATATGTGGAGGAAAGAAATTAACCCTCCCCCATGATGTAGTCCTGTTGTGAAGTTTCACTGCCACCTCCAAGATTTAGGATTGAAGAGGTTACACATTTGAATGCAACTTCCAAGTTTTTAGTATCAGTGTTGTTAAGATATTTTCCCATCTTTCCTTTTATGTATTTATTGCCAATCTGTTTGTTTTCCTGCAGTATCATTATATGCTTCAGCAAAACAGACGGTAGTTTTTGATGTTTTTCCAAGATACCCAGGGTTATATCTGGATACATCGTGTGTTTTAAAAACTCACTGCTTTTCCACACATGTTCCTTTCCCCCTCTTTCAAGAAATTATTTTGCTTCTTTCATTTGAATGGTAAATGCATAGCTACTCTCCTGCAGTCTTTGGGCAGAGGCTCTATGATTTTGTGGCAAGATCTGGAATGGAAGTAATTAATAGGCATCTTAATTGGTGCAAGTGTCTTCTTAGTGCGTGCCTTCACTCGACCCTGAACTGTAGTAAACCTTGAGGGTGGCCAGAACACCGGCTTTAGCTGTTACAAAGGGGAAGGCAATAATTATTCTGCAAGTGCTGTTCTTTTCTTCTTAATTTTTTTTTATGTCAAAGAACAAGATCCAACCCTTGTGATCATAAGAATAGATGGAGTTCTCTGTCAGTGAGTAACATTGTGAATGACCTTGATTTGATATAATTAACAAAACCTTTCCGGTGCTTAGATTGTATGTGCAAACGTACAAACAGAAAAATATGTTTTATGAGGATGATTAATGTAATGACTGAAATCTTTTAACCTTTCTCCTTTCATATTTAAAATATATGAAAAGAGAAATGTGAAAAAAAAAAAAAAAAATATATATATATATAAAACATAATAATATTTAGTATTTTCACATCTAGGTGGAAAAAAAATTGTAATTTGTACTACTGTCTGTTCAAAATAAATGAAAAGAAACCAAGCATAGTAGATTTTTTTCCCTGATACCGAAATCGTATCGAACCGTGACCCCCGAACTGAGGTACGTAAAAAAAAAAAAAAGGAAAAAAAAAAAAAAATATATATATATATATATATATATATATATATATATATATAATTCATATTTAAAATATATTACATATACAATTTTATTACTGGTTTGTTTGTTTCCTCAGTGAAGAAAAAGTGGCCAACACGTGTCCAGCATGCTGTTTAAAAAGATTCCTCATGGAGTTGTGTGAGATGATATAGAACTGAGATGGATCTATATATGCTTATTATATACACACGTTTCAGGCATTTTAATTGTTATTTTTCCTGCCAGTGTCCCGGAGCCTTAAAAGATAAAAAGCTTGCACCCTTGCTCTAAAGCGGATGTTTGAATTTTAAGTGAGTTTATGCAGATCATTAAACAGAACAACCTCTTCTGTCTTTTTAAAGACCAGCTCTGATGTGTCCAGTCACATTGCGAGATAAGCAATTAAACCATGCATTCAAAAATGTTTACTCACTTTCATGTCATTCCAAAGCCATGCAGTATTTGGATCATTTTCCATGGAACAAAAATTAGAGTTTTTTTTTTTTTTTCTCAAAAAGGCTGCAAAAACACCAGAAAGTGTTATAAAAGCCATCCGTACAAATTAGTACACTATATTATGAGTCTTCTGAAGATATACGATAGATTTGTGTGAGGAACAGACTAAAATAAGTTATTAATCCCTGAAAATCTTATTCCCTTCCAGTAATATGTTAACCGATATAAGGGTTCAAAAGGAAACTCTATGTAATTCCGATTAATATATTTTAAGTCTTTAACACGCAGCATATCTAAAGTAAAGATTCAGCTTGATTTTGTATACGTGGATTATTTTATTTCCAAAGGTGAAAAGCTGTTGACTGTGGTTGTTCTTTTAGAGCTACCAATAGGTAATAAGTATGTACCATTTATGACATGTCACCTGTGTTTAGCAGATCGATTCCATACACTGCTGCCTCATTCTGGTTATAGATTTCCTGTCATTTCAGTGACTGATGTAGAAGGATCTGAATTATTTCCCATTTTTCTGCCTGCATCTTGGAGGACATTACAACCTAATTTAACGTTTTCCAAAATAAGAGATGACTCAACGTTTTTTTTTTTTCCAATCTATTTTCATTCTCTACACAGCACCATCCAATGCAGAAATAGTTTTTATACCAGGAAATGAGAGTGGAATTGCAGCCGGCTGTTATTTTTAAATTAAGACCGCTGAAGCGATGACCACACCAACCAGCTGTACTTTTATTAATCACAAAGCTACTCAGTTCTGACCTCAGTTGAGCCACACTTTTGTTTATCAAGCATTGTCCCCAAACAATATTCAGGCCTTCTTATCATAGCAATAGGGGGTCAAAGAGAGTACACGCCTTGTGTGCGTGTGTCTGGGTTTGTGTTTGTTTTTCGTGTACGAAAGTGTGTGTACACGCTGCTACTTTGTCAAGTTCTTTTCTCAAGGAGAATTGTTGAATGCTCACATGACAGCAAACAGCAGGTGGTACTTGTTCGGGGAAAATGCAGGCTCAAATGATGGCGACTCACAACATGAAAAATATGGTGTGGAGACCACCTGCTTCTCTCAGCATCAGGACAATGGGAACAATGATTTATGAATAGTCTTTACTTATTTGGAGGCCTGAAATCAGGGCAGAAGTGCTGATGTCATTGTGGTAGGATAGACATTATGAATTGTGTTATGTGTCGTCGCTTTTCTGAATTTTCTGAATTTGCTTGATAGAAGATGCAAGCTTGGAGGTCCTCAACCGCACCGCTGACTGCTCATAAATTATTAATAAAGAATCCTGTTTTGCAGGCTGCCAATCATCTCATGTAATGGTTGTCAGCTGGGGGTGCATGTAGCACAACTCTGTGAAAATGCCAAGGTGAACACTTTGTATAAAATCGTCTAAATTGCTTGAAAATGTCATGGGCTGCTGGAACTCAGATGTTGAATAAAGTTATTTAAAAGAATAGAGGGGTATTGTTGCACCGAGTTTCTTATGAGTATCAAAGAGTTATGAGAAAGGGAGACCTGGGGCAGCTGTAACATTTTCCTTCATAATGGACTGCTACAAATCCAACTGCCATTTTTTTGGTATAAGAGACATTTGAAACCATAGCTGTGAGCCGTAGCTATTAATAGACTTATAATAAGAAAGACTAGATCATAAAATGAATAGAAGTCAGTATGTTACAGTTGAAACAGTGATTGCTGCTAATTATATTAACACACTCTATCTGAAATACCTCAAAGTAATATAATTTCTTTACGACCTATTAATATCCCTTAATCATTTTCACTTTTATATGGTGCTATTTCTTTTAGCTGTAAGAAATGTTTTCATGTATTTAAAGCAGGAGACATGGGGATACCTAAATTGTAATTGTTTGAAATCACACCATTTAAAAAAATTGCTTTTCTATATTCTACTCGTATGTATCAAAAACTGGATACTTTCATCAAATAATGTTTACATTATTTGCATTACATTACACATTTGCATGTACCTTTTTGTTACTTTTTTTATTACTCATTATTGCTCGTAATTGTCTTTTTATCATCATCATCATCATCATCATCATCATTATTATTGTTATTATTATCTGTGGTATGTGAGCGTGAGTTGAAATTAACATCCAATATTCCAGCAAGTACTTTTTAGAATGTTTATTAATAAAACAGGAAACACAAATTTTACACAAAACTGTACTGCTCCAGTTTTACATTTCAGAAAAAAAAGAAGCTTCAATTTCAAAGTTTTTGGAAAAATTGAAATATTAACTTTATAATTATTACATCCACAAGTAAGGAACTTGTGGCTCTTACGCATTCATTCATTCATTCATTTATTTATTTATTATAAATTCACTCTAAGTATAGTTATTATGAACAAATGTTCTGTTTTTCTTACAGTAAGTATGAGCATTTGATGAATGTATTGCAAATCATCATTGTGTACGTTCTCCTGTTGCAGTGCCATCGTTCTGGGGGCTTGTAAATTCTGCATGGAATCTGTGTTCTGTGGGGAAGAGACAGTCTCCAGTCAACATTGAGACGAGCCATATGATATTTGATCCCTTCTTGACACCACTGAGGCTCAACACTGGCGGACGAAAGGTAAACTGTGTGTTATGTGATGTCTGCATGGCTGCAGTGTCAGTGCGGTGAGCTGGGAAAAGTAAACATTGTTTCTAGTGTCAAAGTGCTGATCAACTCTGAAAATGCTACTTTAGTGAAAAAATGTGTGTAAGGTCAGTGGTTTTGCTAGATGCAGAATGGTTAGGAAAGTAAATTATAGTGCTTACTTTGAATTGTACTATTTTCCACTACTGCTTTTTACAGTAGCTGATACCCTGCAGTGTGTCATGCAAAACTCCACTTTAAACAGCATTTTTATTATTATTATGGATGCAGCTTTGACCTCATATCATTCGAGATGGTTTGTCACACTGCAATATTTAAAATGAACTAGTTATTGATACATCCTGAAAAAAAAAATGTTGGAGAAACAGTTTTCACTCAGAAATTGCTAGTAAATTTCACAAGCATTTACAAAGAAGTGGCAAGTAACACTTTGAATTATACATGTCTGTTTTTATATAAATTCTGTTTGTAAAAAAAACTTGCGTGCGTTATGCGTCAACTAACCACATAAAAGTGCCATAATTTGTTTGTCAATGGATGGCATGTTTTGCATATTAATAAATCCTCTCTTCAAACACATCAGCAGTGGGTAACTGAGGTCGTGCATTTGTGGTGGCACTAGAGGCAGAGATTCATACTCATACAGATCAGTCAATGACTAGAGAGCGAATCAGACAGAGAAACAACGATAAAAAAAAAAAAACCTGCATGGTAATTTGGCCAAAGCACTCTTGACATGCCAAGTCTCATGAAATAATTAGTTGGATTCATTATTTGTAATTTAGAAGAATAGCAATTCACTTGGACATGATTTCATGAAAGGGGTTTGTCCTAAACTAAAAAAAGGTCAAAGATTAATTGCTGTTTTGAGTGGCACATTTCAAGCTATTTACTAGATTTTTGCTTGATAAATATCAGCATGGAAAATTTCTTGTGCTCACTTGAACTGCATGGGTTGAAAAGTTTTGATCTTTTCAGAGATTGTTTCAGATAGCCAAGCAACCCCTGTTCTCTGATTTCCTGGAACATGGTAGATAAACATTTATTTATTTATTTATTTTTGTCCACAGGGATATTTTGGTTTCAATCGTGCTAGATTGTAGTCCTTGATGAAGAGTTTGAGTGTGTTTGAAGTCACACCATATGTGTTTGAGTTTCTGTCAGATTGGAGTTTACCCATTTATCTCCACAGCATGATAAAGGGACTAATGAATAGTTAAAGGAAATTAAAATGACCTCAGAATAGAAAACCTATTAATCAAGCGCAGACATGCATCAAGGTTATGTGCTTTGGATTGAGGGAATCACAGTTATTAAATTGTCTGTATTAATTGAATATTTGCTCTGCTGTAGATGAGCCGCAATTACTTGAAGAGCTTTTAATGAATTTAATCGCTCTGACAAGGGAGGAAGTTGACAGTATCGTGTCCCTTATCGAAGTCTCCAATCAGCAAAGTGGAGAATTTGAGACATGAATATGAAAAGATGCCACATGAAAATATTTTCTCCCAACGTCATTAGCTTTGGGTTGCAGCAGATATGTGATAGGACTAATTACCGAAACGAATCAGGCCACATGCCATTTAGCATAGCATCGATGGTCTGTAGAACATAGCGTAGTACATTGTCTCGCTGTGTCACCTTCCTTTGTCAGCGTTGGTAAAACAGGACAGAATCCCGCCCAGAGACAAACAATGACAGATACGATACGATTAGATTACTCACTGAGTCAGCTTTGTCAGGCGATTTCATTAGCTTGGGTAGTTGACAGTGTGAGATACATTCTCTGTATAAACGGATGGCATCAGTTTGGCTATCAGTCAGCTTAAACAGGCCGATGTTTGAACTGAGGGACAACACAACTCTCGTGCAGATCACTCACATACAGCACACAAAAGAGACTGACCATGATAAATGAATGTAAATGAACACCATATTTCTGTTTTTCTTTTTTTAAATGACTTGTTTTTGAGGGGAACTTTAAATCTGTTACTGATAGTAATGGTAATGAACAGTCAGCCGGTCATTATCATCTGATTATACAGGAGTGATCAAGACCTTAATGTAAAGCAAGGGGTGTTTTGATCTCCCTGTTGGGGTTTGTTTTTCAATTAGCATTGGATGACTGTGCATTATTCTGCTCTTCATATGGCTACATACTTAAGCAAATACATGGGCATGGAAAATGGATTAAAACAGAGTTAAAACAGGCCAGGGTTTCTATAGGGTTTTATTATTAGTAGTAGTAGTAGTAGTAGTAGTGCTATTATATTTGAATGTGCTGTCAAATTATTGGAATATTCACTTAAAATCTAAAGGGGTACTTTAAGAAAATATTTTGTCAAAGTGGTTTGGATTTCAAAAATGTTTCCTGGTTGTATGTTTTTAGGTGCATATAATAAAAATCAACGAGGCCTAATGTTGTTTGAACCTTAGTGTTGTTCAAAAATATCTGTTCCACAGAAGAAAATCATATCTGTTTAAAATATCTGATTGCTCAGTGGAGCTATGTAATGAGAGGTGATGGCAGTGTCAGTTAGATATAATGTTCTGTTCATTTGAGTTCAAGAATCAGTGATGTAATTTTTCCTGTAATCTGGCCAGTGGGAGAAATAGATTGAAACCATTTAACATGCAAGATGCATGTATGACCAGATGGGGAGTTCTGCTGCCACAGGGAGAGAACGCTCCTCTAGCGGCACTGAATCAGTAAAATTACACTGGGAACATGGTGGAACGAGAAACATGGAGCCATGGGATGACATCTGTAGTGATCTGTGGGAACACACTGTTGGGGGGGGGGGTTCTATTACATATTCGGCCCCCTAGCTTTCATTTGTCACACATGTGACTTCCATGTTGGCTTTGTACCTGAATGTTTTATCTCTTTTCACTGTTTGTTGCAAATGTTTGCACTCGTGTACTAAGCATGACTGTTTCATTTCCTTAGCGAACCTCTCGTGTTGGCAAACCCAGGAAAAATATGGAGTCAAATATTTTTGAATCAAAGTGCAAATGTGAAATATTTATTAGAGAAAGCATTTGCCTCAACATACACATGCGTACATAAAGCTCAGCTATGTTTTTCATGGTGAATGTAATAAACCACAAAGGACACAGATGTTTATTGCTGAGGGTGAAACGCCCTGTGATTATGAGAATTGATTTAGTTATGCAAATTACTGATTCAAATTAATTAGACTCAAGTTTGTGTTGGCTGAACCTGCTAAGCTGTCACAGTATACAAATCAGTTTGCACATGAATATCTCAAAGACTGCAATTATGTCTGTCTCGCCGTGGCCTCTTGCTTGTCAAGGCCCTGGATTTAATTACTGCTGGATCGCACGAGCTCGAAGCCCTGATCCGTGCATTCCGAGTCAGAATACGCAACCTAAGCCAGTGTCCGTGGCTCGTCCATCGGTGTGGGTGTATAAATTTGAATCATAAACATGGAGCTAAAAAAGGATTAGGAAATAATTAGATTCAATCACTTGTGTCCGCAGGAAGGAATGTTTGTTGGATCCAGGGGTTGTGAGGCAATCTCACTGTAGCATGAGTCACAGGAAAATGGGTCACACGGAAAGAGGAAATGGATCAGCAGTCTCCTGTCCTCTATTCTCAGATCAAAGCCTGAGTGCTCCACCACAGCAGAGATTCTGAGTGCGCCTTCGTGTTTGTGCAGTTTAGATCCTACTCCAACATTATGATAGCAGGGTTTTATTGAAATCTTCAGATCATTTTGTGGTTCTGGTTTGTGGTTTTCGTTGTACCAAAAAAGAACTACTGGGCAAAATCAATTGAATCTCAGTTTTACAGCATACTTTATTGGCTTGTTTTTCTTTTTATTTAAAAAGTCAGTTGTATTAATTAAAGTTATTTATATAAAATAATAATAAAAAAATAGAATTGCTTGTTTTTTGTTTGGTATGGTTTTGTGTGTGTGTGTGTGTTTTTTTTTTGTGGTTATACTTATTTTGTTTTATTTTGATAGTCCACTTTAGACATTCAACTACCTATAAATAACTTTGCAACTGCATGTCAACTAGCAGTCATTAAAGTATTAGTAGACTGTCTGCTTAATATCTACTAACACTTTATTTTGATGGTCTCTCAACAGACGTTCTACTGACTATAAGTAACTTTGCAAGTATGGCAACTTATTCTACTAACCCTAACCTAACAGTCTTCAAATGCACTAATGAGAGTTAGTTGACATGTAGTTAGGGCTGCTCGATTATGACAAAAATCATAATCACGGTTATTTTGGTCAATATTGTAATCACGATTATTTAAATGATTGATAGTGGGCCATATGACCAAAACTTTATATGAAAGGTTTATTTAAAGATAGTGATATATTTCAAATATATATTTTCTGTAAATAAGGTTGCTATGACATCTACATTTTAGAGACCAGCGAAATGTCACGATTCTCAATAACACAGCAGAATACCAGAGTAACTAATATTAGTTAAAAAAAAGGTCCTCAAATTTTTTTTAAATAATTAAGCTGTAATAAAGAAGCAAAGGAATGCAATGCCAGTAATAAAAAAGCAAAAGAATACAATAGAATGAAAACTATACAAATGAAACAAACTGTGCTTACTAGAGAAATTGAATAACCTAATGTAAAATAAAATAGCATAGTCTTCACTGCAAGATTTAAACTTCCTTGGTTTATTATTAAAGCTACAAAAGTCCTTCAGTCAAGAGCAGTGAGTGATTTTGAATGTGTCTTTTGTTGTTTGATTAATATTAAGCACACAGTCGGCAGCAGGAATATAGCCCGCTGTCACTTTAAGAGCCGCAAGAGCTGCTTTAGAACATTGATTGTGAATATATATCATATATGAATATATTTTTTCATGCAGGCACCCCTAGTTTTGACGGCATGGCAACAACTCTTCCTCTTCTCTAAAACAGCGCAACATGGCCTCGCCCCCTTTGTTGCATGTTCCCAGGGGCGGGTTTA